TGACATTTTCTCTTGCTGATGTCTTCTTCTATCTAGTCAAGATTTATAGACCTTTCATATCATACTGAAGTGTATTTTATCCTACTAAATGTATTTTCAAGACTTGTTGAAATCTTAACCTCTTGGCAGAAATTGTTAAATAACAGGACTGTGTCCTTCAAACAATGTGTTTTCTTCTTCAGAGTGTGAAACAAGGGATCTTAGAGGTGCTTCAGAATAAGTAATACAGATATGGTTGATAGTCTGATTTGCCTTATCAGAGATGCTTTTCAGAAGTAAAACTTAATGTCCTTTGTTGTTATTAATCTATACAGCCTTCTTATAGTTTTCAATGTTAAGATGCCCTTTTTAAAAAATATGATTATGATGCTAACAGATAGTAGTTAGGTTTGTTTTAAATTTTACATGGTAAAATAAAGTGTTTATACCCTTGTAATATGTCCCAACATTGTTTTGAAATTTTACTGCTTTGTGAAATCTAAGTCTGGGAATCAAAACAGATTCCTAAAATTATTGAGGGATACATTTAAGCGATCTTTTAAGACACTTCATGATTCAGTATATACAGAACTTTAAAATACTTTTCATTTGCCTTTAGGATGAGTAAGGTCATGATGGTTTGAGCCTCATAATTTGCCCAGCATCTGTAGTCCTTCATATGGATGTCACTAGCCCCAGCCTTGGTGTGCTTTCAGTACACATCTAAATTATTACTTGACCCTTAGACTGCTTATAATAGTAAAATTGTTAATAGTTGCATCCCTAAATATCAAAGACCTGAAACATACAATCTTGTTGGATCCTCAGAGTACATGAAGAAATTGATGAGGCAGGTATTATCATCCTGACTTTACAGAAGTAGCAAGCATAAAGAAGTTATGAATTGAGCAAGATTACTCATCTAATAGTGACTAAGGGTACAGCCAGGTTCATTCACTGAGCAGTTTTTACAAAGCCCCTATTCTGCCAGGCACTGTGCTGGGCATGGGTTTTTTTTGATACTAGATCTGTTTGAGACTCCTGATACTTGTGAATTTATTTTGCTTTTCTTATGCTACTTCCGCAATTTTTAATGTTTATTTTTTATAAATAGATTTTTATAAACGTTTATCCTCATTTTTTTAAAAAAGTAAAAGCATTAAAATACTTCTTTAGGGAATTAACATTGCTTTAGCTTCATTAAGCTAAAAATTTAATGGCTTAAAAACAGTAAATATCTTTTAACTTGTGCTTAATTTAATAAATGACTTAAATTATAATAAATATTGGTTTAAATAATAGATGATCCCTACTAGGTGGAAATTAAAATGAGCCAGTTTATCATTGGTGGTCTATTTTAGTATTTAATTACAATTTTTATATGAAACATTGAAGTTGAAACAAAAATGCAATTGACCCTTGAAAGGCATGGGAGTTAGGGGCACTGACTGCCCGAGCAGTCCAAAATTTGAGTATACCTACAGTCGGCCCTCCGCATACTCAGATTATACTCAGATTCCCAGCCATGGAGTTGACTCTTGATCAATGCAGGTTTGAGCTGTGAAGTCAATTGAAAAAACCCACATATAGGTGGACCTACACAGTTCAAACCCATGTTGTTCAATGGTCAGCTATATTTCTTGCCTTGAGTAGTAGTACTTTTAAGTTTTGTTACTTTGTTATTGTTGTTGCTTAAGAGTGAAATACAGTAAGTCTTAAGGTCATTCATAGGTTTTTGGAAACTGACTTCAAACAAAGCGAAATATAGTAAAACCAATTTTACCATAGGCTAGTTGCTATAAACAAGAGTTAAGTCCCTATGGCATATTTCTGGTCACGAAAACATCACCAAATTTCTAAATAAAGACCAAAAACATTTCTAATATTAAACATTGAAATAAATGTTAGCTATACATAGATTTAAGAAAGATTAATAGAAATGAGTCTGATAATTCTCCAACCAGCTTAATTAGGTTCAGGGTCAGGTGTGGTGGGAGCCTCTCCGGGCAGCTCAGGGCACAGGGGAAGAACACACCCTGGAGGGCACACTTCCATCACAGGCTGCACTCACACACACGCACTCACTCAGATGGGGACAGTTTAGGTGCCAGTTCAGCTAACACACCTATCTTTGGGATATGGGAGGAAACCAGAGTCTCTATAGAGAAAACCCACACAGGCTTGGGGGGAATGTGTAAATTCTATTGATTTTTTTGTTCTCATCAACGTTATAATGAAATGGTGTTATTTGGTAATTGTCCAATTCTCCCAGGCAGAAAAATGCGGCCTAAGTGGAAATAAAGTACCCTCCTATTTTTGATAATTCATAGTCCAGGAAGTCGAATAGCCTATATATTTGATGTTTGTTTTCTCTTTAATATCTGCAGCTGACTCCTGAGTTCTCACAGCGCTTGAACAATAAGATTCGAGAGCTTCTCCAACAAATGGAAAGAGGCCTAAAGTCAGCAGATCCTCGGGATGGCACTGCTTACACTGGCTGGACAGGTATGGTGTGCTGACAGTGAGCTGGCATAAGCATTGTAGAAAGGGAGCCAAAGCATTACCTTTCAAGAGCAGTCTGATTCGATACTCTTAAATGCTTCTTGCATCTGCATGTGAATAATTGCTCCCAGGAGGCTGCTGTGCTCTCAGCCTAGCCTTGGTATCATCTGGATTTTTAACAGTGCTCAGAATTTAGGGCAGGATAAGCGTATTCATGGAATTCATGCCTGACACAGATTTGGATAGCTGCTGTACTTAGGAGAAAAATTGATATTCAGCATTACATAGTTAATTTGGAGATGATATTTCAGTGGAAAGAGTTCTGCAATACAGTGTATGAAACCGAGGTAAGGAATATACATCCACAAGAAATAAAAAGTCCAGAAGCATCTTTTTTTTTTTCTTTAGTAAAAGTTACCACATAGCAGAGAGCCAAACAGAACAAAGTATAGATTCTGTGTACTTATCTTTCCATATAGTCATTGCTAGTTGGTTCGCATTCACTGTTTTGCCAGTCATTAAGAGGTTTGAGAAAGTTAGGGAAGAAATAGGTGTCAAAAAGATAAGAGAGAGAAACCAAAGAAGGAAATTGAAGAACTTCAATTAGTTTAATAATGTAGAGAAACAGAAGTACAGCTATATAATCATGAAGAAAGCACAGTTTAAAATTCAGTGTTTCCTAATTACTCAGAAAAGCAGACAAGGAGGAACAGGTTTTCAGCTTAGGAATTTGAATTTGATTTCAAGGCAGTGGTGCTTGTCATAAAAATGCGGTCCCTGGGCCTCAACAGCAGATTCTGGTTCGGTATGTCTTGAGTGGAGCCCAGGAATCTGAATTTTGCAAGCCTCAGTGGTCACGATGTAGATGGTCATCTATGGACTGGAATTTGTGGGCTTTTCTATAACAGGAATGTACTAATAACAACCTCTTAGCAATCCTCTTTTAGTAATGACATGTGATTCTTTCATTATAAGGATGGGAAGGCAGAGAATAGAAATTATAATTTCTCAGGGATATTTAAGGTCAATACTTTATAAAATAAGAGGAATGGCTTATATATAATGTTAGGACCTCCTCATAGTTTTATGATTTGTATGGATTTTAGAAGCTTAGCACAAGAAACATTAAGATGAGAATAAAATGAAAGTATTTTACTTCAAAAGGTAAGTTATAACAACAGTTGTCATTTATTGAGTACTGTGTTCCAGGTACTGTAATACTGTAATCAACAGGTTAATCTCATTAATGAGCATTACTGTTTAAAATTATGAGGATTTGAACAAACCAGGACAAGTACAGTACTTGGTTATCTTTAGCTTTCCTCTTGATTTTCACATTATAGTAAGGCACAGACCTATAGATCTTTTCCTAATACATTTCGAGTTTCTATTATTTTTTTATTCCTGGCAAAAAAAAAAAAAGACTGAGACAGCTAAATTTAATTCCATAACCGATTATAAAAAGAATGTCTTAAACCTCTATTTCACACTTTCAGGTGAGCTTATATTATTACATATTATAGAGTATCTTGCTTTCGAGGGGAAAGAAGAGAGAGTTGATTTCAAGTTTGAATAGTAGTTTGATAATGTTAAGAAAGGCCGTTAGTCGGGCCCCTCTATTGCAAGGGCTGGTTGACAAACTAAAAGTTGAATTTTTCTTGAAAATAGAAATTTCTCTCCAAACTAAAATGCAAGTTTGTTTAAATTTGTTGCCAGTATGAGGTTTCCGGCATTGTCTCCTTTGACTTGCCAATATCCTTCAACTTTTTATGTTTAAGTTTCTATGATACTCATTGCTGGCTTCTGGAAGCCACTTATATGGCAAGCATGTAAGGCAGATTGGCATGCTAAGCAGTTTCAGATATCTTCGGTTGCTGGTTGTTTTATGCTGTAGCATAAAATCTAGATAAATTTGCTAATGGCTTTCAAGGCAAGGTTCCTAATGTCTCCTAATCGAGCACTGTTAAAAAGCCATTATTCCCGCATAAAATGGACTATCTCCTCCAGTGTTTTGATAAGTAAAATACTTTTCTGTGCCAGTGTTCAGACAATCTGAATAACATAAAACTCTGAGTTGTGTAAGAAACTAAAGCCGATTTGACTGCAGAAAATCATAATGTTAATACCATCTCCTCCCATTATCTTACCAAGTATCTTCTATGCACAGCTGCAATTTTAATACCAAAACTATGCATTCAGAAACAACACAATGAAAATACTTGGTGTTGTGTGTCAAAAGCAGTGTTTACATAATTAAGTGTAGATTTGTATGTTACTTTGTGTGTGCCCCGTGTTATCTTTCAAAAAAATGATACTTTTTAGAAGAAACAGGGAATATATTTCTTTAACTTTGTTCAGCACCAAATTTAGGGTCATATTTTATAATATCATCTATCGTTTGCTCCTGTTGCTAACTTGTCCAAAATCATATTACTTTGGGAAATATTAATTCATTGTAGAAAATCTATAAAATTTTATTTCCTTCTTCAATGTTGATATTTATTGAGCATTTGTTGTCAGTTTACAATGAAAACTTTTGCAAGTTATCATTATATTATTGATTACATAGTCTGTATGAGAAATTTGCATGATTACTATAATTAGTTAGAGCTTTAAATTACAATTCTAGTATTGTGTTAAGTTTCATTCCCCAGTAGAATATGATCTGATAGTTAATTCTAATTCAGATAGAATTAGGTTTTGGAATAGAATTAGATTCTGCTGTATGTACTCAGAAGAATCAGAATTGGAGTGGCTTAAATAAGATAGAAGTTTACTTCTTCTCTCGTGTAAAAGAAGGCCAGAGAAAGACATTCCAGGTCTGTTATAGTGGCCTTAGGGTGTCAGTAGAAAAACAGTCTCCATTCTTTCTGCTCCATAAGCCCTCAGCCACCAGCTTCTATCTTTTGGCCAGAAAGCTGCTGAAGATCCAGCCATTACAACAGCTTTTCATGCTGCAGGAAGGAAGATTAAGCAAAGAGGAAGGCATTCCTTCTCTTTCAAAAGACTTCTGGAAGCCCCAACTCAACATTTTAACTCTACTTACTTGGCATTGGCTAGAACATACTCACATGGTCATACCTGGTAGCAAGGAAGAATGGTAAATGTCGTCTGTTAGCTGAGGTTTTGTTAGTAAAGAGAAGAGGGGAGTGGGTTTGGGGATAAGAGTTAGTAAACTGTTAAGTCCTATATAATAATAAAAATGATCCTTTTCTTAATCCCTTTGTTTGCCCAAGGCATTTGGACAATGAGCCTCAATTTTTTCTCCTGCAAAAGAGTCTCTGACTTTTGTCTACTGTGAGGGAATTTTTGTCTATAAAATATTTTAAAATCTGCTAAGCAATATTTGACCGCTCTGTGTTTCTAGGGAGACTCATATTTGGATTTCGATTCAAAATACCTTTATTCATTTTGAATTTTTTTATTTCAATAAATATTAGTCTTTTCATAAAGCTTGCCATAGAAAGGAAGTATTATAGGAATGCCAAATCATAGTTTTTCTCTAGCCAAGTGTAACTTAAATCTAGAAAGAGACTGCAACTGATTCTGAACTTAATTCTGTGAAACATTAGTGTTTCTCAGCTTGATTAAATAGTTCTCTGCCTCCTCTGTCCACTTCCTCTCAAACTCTTGTTTGCTTGTCACAGTATTATAAAGTCCTTCATTTGTTGGTATCACATATATGTTTCTACTTCATGACTAAAGAAAGCTACAAAGCTAGGCTGCCCAATTTCATAATGCCTCATTGTGCTATGCCTACATCTGTCTCAGTTGCTCACTTAATCTTGAAAATCAAAGAGTTTTAATGGAGAGAGGAAGCACCCCTGTGTTTTTAATATTACAGATGTACTTAACGCTGAAAAACTGGACTCCTGTCATTTTTTTTCCCATTTTATGTCATTTCAGCAAGTGAGACTAATAGTGACAGGGTACTTAGAATTTCTGTTAGAGCACCTCTGTATGTTTTATGTGCTTCATAAAACACTATACATAATGCTTCATTAACAAGGGTGATATGTACAAGTTTAAGTAGAATTTAAAAGAAGCAAATCATTGCTTTAGAAAGTACTTGACATTCACTTTACAAACTATTTTACAATTAAAATACCTTGGCTTTTATTTTAAAATGGAAGCTAAAGATATAATACAGTGATGGGAGTGGTTAACATAGACTTTTAATAGGATCCTGACATCATTTTCACCAGAAGCCTACATATTTACATACCTATGGGTTGTCATAGTGCAGTTTTACAAGTTGTATGCCTAACTTTTACCTTTATTTTTTTACTTAGAACAGAAATAAAATGCTTTCATCCTAGAAAAGAGAGAAGAGTTTTTAAAACCTCACAGCTGTGTCAGGTTGGCAAATGAGGCAGTTAATACCATAAATCCCTCCGGTCTGTCTCATGCTTATCCAGGAATGAAGTATAAATAATCAATTTTTCAGGAATTAATTGAGAGTTAACAAATTATTACTGTATATCAATGTTCAAAAACAAGTATTCAGTTCTTTTTTTTGGTTCTCAGGGGAATGAAGATTGTCAGTATGCAGTTTTGTGATCATTTGACGGTTGAAGGGCAGGAGTAAAGATAAACCCAGTTCTTGTTAATAAAATGTTACTAGGATTGACATTTGAATGACAGGAGCCAGAGTGTATGTGCATGTATGCCAATAACTAATGTTATATGCCAGGTACTGTTCTAAGTGTTTTGCATTAATTAACTAAATCTCAGAAGAGCTCCATGGCACCGATACTATTGGTATCCCTACTTCACAGATGAGAAAAGTGAAGCAAAGTGGTGTCTGAGTACCTGTTCAAGGTTACATAGTAAGTAACAAAGTAAGGATTCAACCCAGCAAGCCTGGCTTTAGAGCACCTGCTCTTTACCAAGAGATAGAATAATAATGAGTGTGAGTCTGTGTGTATGTGCGTGTGTGTGTTTACTTTCCACTTCTGCAGTTGAGTTTACTCCATATATTTTATTTTATTTTTTATTTTTTA